TAGTTATTATATACAACTATGTCCACACTTGCTGAACGAGACTAGGCTGTCTTCCTACAAACTCACAGGGGCTTGCTTTGACTATGGGGTCAGAATAAATACAGAATTAACAATAATCATGAATCATCATCTACATCCGTGCTGCCGTTACAGTCTCAAAGTTTCAAAGGGCCACAGCTCTCTGTATGGGGTCGTCGACAACTCTTCAAAACTCTCGCTCTGCACGAAATCCCAGTCACTAATTAATATTATCAGTACTGTACTGTTGTCACGTTATTATGTATCCTTAGTACTTCTTCTTCTTATAATTATTTACTACTATTACTACTATTATTTAGTATTGCCACCCGACAAATGCATTGCAGGTCAATCAATCCCTGCTTGTCCCAATTCCTTTTTTTTTTGCTTTTTTCGTCCACTACAAGTAAGAATCATCATGACTGCCGAACCGGCTCCAAATGATCCCAATGCACTCGCCGCTTGCAAACAAGAGCCGCACGAGGGCCACCTGAAAATCATTGCCACTTGGAACGACATCACGATTCTGGAGCATCATATGACCAAGGAAACATTGTTGCTGCGTGGCGAGGTCACATTGAAATTCAATGCTGCCGGTTTCGCGTTCGTCCGAGTGGCAGGGGAGAGTACGTGGCTGTCGAAGCTCTTGAAGTATCACCTTTTTAGACGTGCTTCCAGCGAGGGCGACACGTCCGAGGGCTCGTCGGAGACGGAGCCTTTCGTTATTACCCGCACAGAGACAGGAACCCAGTCGCAATGGCTGAAAAGCTTCCTCCTTGGAAGAAGACTGTTGCAGACTGATTTGTCAACCGCACTCCAAACGGAGAAACCAGTCTCCATTCTGCAAGCCCGAGGACCCTGTAGGCATTTCTGGCGGCTTACTTCCTTTATCCGAAAGCCACGACAGACGATTATGGGCAAGCTGCGACGGTTCTGGCTGCCAGCCTTTGTGTCCGAGCTCCAGCTGGAAAGCGGGAGAGGGCACGTGCTCTGGCCGCCTCACTGCAAGGAGACGGGACAAGGCGAAACGGAGGACACGGCTCATGATCTGTTCGTCAGCACGTTGTTTCTCTGCTTTCTGCTGCATATGTTGTACGTCTACTCTGATGAGACCACGACATTGCTCCCCCTGTTCCTTCAGAGGTTGTTGCCGGAGAAGTGGAGGGTTCGGGTCGCGTCCGAGGCAGCTTCTCTGGTCATCCGACACGGCAATGTCACATTGTCCGAGTTGACCGAGAGGACCTGCTACAAAGAGCGGATGCGGGGCTCCAAGAAGACTGTGCCCATGAAGTCCAGGAAGACCCAGCCCGTGCACGAGGTGCTCAAGCAACTCTGGAGGACGAAGGCCCTGCGGTGGCTTCGAGCAGACGTCTTGAAAGGCTTGTCCGGGGCAGTGGATGCTGGTGTTCTGGCCTCCGACTTCGGGGAGGATCCCTGCCAGGACTCCATTTTCGACAGCAGCGACAAGCCAGACATGCGTGATCCTGCCGTCCGAATGGCCAGAGTGCGAGCAGCCCGCGTCGTCCGAGGCCCCGCCGATGCCAAGCTGTCCGCCCGAGCCAAGACCAACCTGAAGGTGCAGAAGGTCCGAGCTCGGTCGATGGTGAAGGCCAGGCAGCGCGTCCGAGAACGGTTCCAGTATTGGATGTCCTGCAGGCGGGTGCTTGGATCGGCGAAGACGTTGCACATTGCCTTCGATGCGTCCCGAGTCGGAGGCAAGAAGAGGTCGTACTATGCGATCCTGGACAGCCACACTGGGTTGGCAGCATGGGGGCCACCGCTGATTCTGAGGGATTCTGGGTACAGGGCTGTCACGTCCGAGCCCACTCCCGAGGAGCAGGGGAGGCTGGACTCCAAGACCCGAGGGTATCTGCTGAGCTTGCGTGCCCGAGACAATGCTCTGTCGTCCGAGGCTGCGGCGCCTGTGGTCGAGAAGAAGCAGCGGTTGCCTTCTTTCGAGCAGGTGGTGGCGCTGGAGCAGACGTTGCAGAGCATGTGTCCGAGTGCAGCAAGCCTGCTGGAGTTCACAGCCCCAGACCCGGAAGGTCGCCTGGAGATGCCCGTGCTGTGTTTCAATGCGGACGCTGGGCCGGACGTAATGAGCTGCTTACAGTTCTTGCAGAACCACGTCCGAGTCCGCATGATCCACTTTTGGGATCCAAGACACCGACTCGCCCGAGAGTTGGAAAATGCTGTGAGCCATGCAAAGCTGAAAGGCGCCCTGTCCCTAGGCGAGCTAGTTATCAACTTTAGTCGGGGCCCGTGGAGCTCGCACAAATGGTTCCGCCGTCTGCAGGAGGAGATGGTAGACTTCGCTGCAACACTGTCTGCTGCACCGCCAGACGTGCGAGAGAGAGGCGGCTTTCTCTTTCAGCATCTCCGGGAGGAGATTGCACTCCAGGCTGGCTTGCATGTCGAGGAAGTCACACCCGAGAAATGCAAGGATCTCTTGCAACACAGCGGCTTCTTGAGGAAGCGTGGGCCCAGCAACATGAGCAGGGGGGATGCATTTGCTGTGGGTTGGTCCGAGAGAAAGTCCGAGCTGGGCCTCCTGAAGCTACTGTGCCTGTCCTATGGCCTCAAAGCCGGCTATCTCCAGCCGGCGACCAATGCCGCCGCCAACCGAGCTACCGAAGAATGGGCCGGCCAGGTCTTGTCCGAGGGCGACGGAGACAACACATTGGGCTCTGATGCCAAGCAGCGCCGGTTCCAGAAGTGCGTCAACAAGCTTCATGTGGTCACCAACATCTTGTTGCAGAAAGACACGTGTGACAAGCTCAACTGTTGGTTTCACTTGAGTTGGCCGATCTCTCAGGAGCTGCATCGCCTCAGGACCACCCTGAAGAGAGGTCGAGATGGTTGTGAACAGCATCTCCTAGAAGAGGCCCGCGGCTCTAGCTTGGAAGTCCTCACGACCATCTTCGAGACTGCAGTGTGTCCCGACGTCCGAGAAGACCTGGCTATTTGGCACGGTGCCCGCCTCGGTGCAGGGATGATCGGCCGAATGACGGTCGAGGACCCTATCGTCAAATTCCAGAACAAGACATGCCAGATGGTGCTGGAAACTGCTTTGGAATTGGCTCACGTCAAGATGCAGTATGCCTCGGTTACCATGTTTTCTTGGCCCTCCCAGCTCGTCCTCCTTGCCTTCGGAACCGAAGAAGAGCAGAACGTTACACTCGTGAATCTGTACCTGTCCGAGCAGGCACACGCCCGAGCCATGGCCAACAGCGAGAAGCTGAAATGGCTCCGGGTGTTTGCAAAGCGATCGCCGATGGGGTCCAGGCTTATGCGGGACGTCGTCGCGAACTTGCATTCGTCCGAGTGGCGCATCACGAAACGTTTGCTGAATTGGCTGCAGCCGCTCTTCCGA